TATACAATAAGACAGTAATATTACACGTGTGTGTGCGTCGCGCGCCGTCGCGTGAACCCGGCAAATGTCCGATTTGCCGGGACCTCATGGTTTTCATTGTTTTTTGGCGCCTCGCTCTTGTAACCATATTTTTCGTAAACTATAATATGTTTAAAATCTAATATAATAATTTATTAAACAATATTTATRATAATAATAATATTTATAATATTATGATATTTAATTGTAATAAAATCAATTATTAAATTTMAATATTTTATGCTTGTGGGTATCAAAGTAGTGTATTAGTTGATCGATGTAGAAATTTAATTTAAGGAATTGCCCGCGCGTTGTCCATTCTATWTTTATAGTTTCTAGTATAATGTCATTACATACGATTACATACGTTTATCATGTTTACCATAATATTCTAAATGTTGTTATATCTAATGTTGTGTTTTTGTGTGTATGTATATGTAATTTGACGTGTATGTGTGTTTGTAATAATATTTTATATCGTTATATTTTGTCCTATTCAATATTTATAACATAATCTTATCATTCTTATCCTTAATGACTATCAATTATTATAATTATTTTATTAGACATTTTAAATTTAAAAAAGATATGATGGCTTAGGTGCACATCATTATAATAATTACTTACTTTGTATTAAATAATAAATACAGTTTTCACTCACCCTAAAATTTTCAACACTCGAWTCGCTGCGTTGCCAATTACTGCAATACGCGTATTACATACAAATTATGATATAGTGATATAATATGATATGAATACAGAATAGGTTGATGTTATAACTTAGAATAATTGTTTATTTGTATATCAGATAGTTATGGATCAAAAGAATTAAAAAATAGAATATCATTGTACCTACATTGGTTATTATTTGACAAGAAACCCACACGATTACATTGATGACCGATGGCCGATGGGTGCAATTATCATCAACTGTACGTGGTATAGGCAGCTTGATGCAGTGATACTACCATGGCCTTTTCTAAACTTACAATTTCAATTTTTTGCCAAAACCTATACCTAACTTACTAATAGGTGTTGGAAGCGAATACATACATTAAATACAATAGGCACCTATATATGTAATAAATAATTATACAAATCACTAATTAGGTATGCAAATTTAGTTAATTGTTTAGTACATAGAAGATATTTGTGAAAAACACAATAATAGATATTTATTTTACATCACACCAGTCACCAAKATATAATCATAATATTATACAATGAAAATAACGAGTAAAACATTAAATTCTGATACTAAATATAATATGGAGATCCATGCAATTTTATACACACGATTTTCTTTATTTATATAGATACGATTCCCAGTCAATGGTAAATTTTTGTGATAAATTAATATATTTTCATTTCTTATCTAATTTTGTTGGATGTATTCAATTTCTATAAAACTAAAACCCTATAGATACTAATATTAAAATAATATGTATTGTTAACATTGTACGTTTTAATTTATTTAAAATATAGTAAATTATTTTGTTGAGATTTATTTCAGAACGTCACGAGAATATTTTATTTGGTAAACATTCACATGGATACAATGATATTAATCGATTTAGCCAGATCATACATTCATACCTACAAGTGTTCGATAGAGTTAATCGGATCCTTAAATATTTTATAGTCTCTTTCGACATTATATTATATTTACTCGTGATTGGTACCTATATTAATTTTTAATGAATCATACCTACCTAAACCTAAGTAATAAAATATTTATAAAACCAGACGTTTAAAAATTAATTGATTTAAGCGGTTATAGTAAATTAGCATAATTCAAAAATGTAACAATATATTATAATTTGTAAGGTGCATATTATGATTAATTAATTTAAAATGCTTGCCTTTCGTTGCAACCGAGTGGCCCGAAAATACGACACCACCTTGGATTTGATGATTATCTTTGGATAAGATACTTATTCAGGTACACATGTTTTACGAGGCGTTAACATCAATCGGCATTCAATTCTTGTTTCTCCATGTTTTAAAATTTACTCCTCCAGATCATTGTGAGATTTGAAGATAAGTGTTAGGGTTCATAAACCACTTTGCATCTTATACCATTGTTCAAAAAACAAAAATAACAGCAAAAATTCATAAAAATGATGACAAAAAAAAATTGTAAATAGGTAGGTAAATATAAATTAAAACAAAGTGCTGTATGCTTCTGTTTTACAGAAATTAGGTAMACCATTGAGGGTGCAGAATAAGTTTGTTTCATATATGATTTGACCTTAAGTTTGAAAGCAATAATGATACATCATCTTATAATAATAAAAAAAAAAATTAAAACTGTGTTGATGTCTTTTCTTCTAAAGTTGTATCAATATACAATGTTGAATGTAATACATTCAATGTATTATTGTATTATTTAAAATGTATTCAATCCGCTTATAAAGAGCGTAAAAATAAATAGACCATGTATTATTAAGTAGGTACATCTTATAAATAATTTTGAGTCTGATACGAAAATTGCACATCCTTTTGAACTACTTGGGATTGAAATTGAACTATTATATTTTTATTCACAACCATTTACCTAAGTGGGGTACACTCGGTTATGGTCGTTATGGAACACCGGAATACTCTGAAGAGTAGGGTATTTCACTAGGTTGATAATTGATATTGCTCTAGTCCAAATGGTTATACCTATAGAAGATGGTTTTAAGGCAAAGTCAAAATATTATTACAAAAATTCAACAATATTAACAATAATAATCTATTTTTTTGATGTACAATGTTTTGTACATTCAATTGGGAGGGGGTATGCCACTGAATTGAAATAAGCCTATAACATCCATATATCTAATTTATTATTAAAAAAAATAACTTAGCATTCGAGAAAAATAAATAAATGTTATGAATAATCAATAAATTGTATTTGTACCATTTGTACCATATAGCATTTCCATTACTTTATAATTTGGAGGCAGTGATTTCTGTTCAATAAAAGAACACAGGAAGCTACTTATTGTTGAAATTGAGTTAGCAATATCTGTGAAAAATAATTATTATTCTTAACGCATTATAATATCTAATAATTCGGTTTAAAACATATTATTTTCAGTGATCTCTATCTATCTTAAGGAAGGTGATTTTATACTATAGTGTGTTTTCATACGTCAACTTTCTTTTACTTACAATATTACATTTGAAAATACTAAATACTATAGAGTATATTATATAGGTTCTAACATTTCTCGCAAAAACTTCGCTTGATGTATATCCTTGGTAAAATTTATTAACTKTTAAATGTTTTCTACATAGGTATTATGTATACTTACTGTTTTAGTTTTTTTTTATAATTAATTCACATTTGCGTTTTCT